AGGGGGTGGCACTGGGTGGGATTTAAGGTGCCTTCCCACCGAAACCCTTCTGTGATGGACCTGGAGCAGGGCTGGGACACGATGCAGGTAAGGACAGTCCCAGCTTTGCTCACCCAGGGCTGGGCTCCAGGCTGAGCATCACCTCTTCAAGAGCAAGCTCGGGACTGGAGAAAGTCTCTGTAGAAACACAAACCTGGTGTTTGCTCCTGCTTTTCCAGAATGGACCAGAAAACATCATGGCATTGATCATTGCTTGGGCATCCCCACCCCAACAGCAGCTCCCCCATCCGCTCCCAGCACCTTTCCTCCCCCCAGCCCAAAAAGTGATGAAGAGGAGGAGGATGAACAGCTTCTGCACAACCACCACTGTCATGGCCCACCGATGAGCGGCACCAGGGGAAGTCATTCCCTGCCCCTCTGCCAGAGCTGCAAGCGCTTACCGTGACCGAGAGGCACACGGGGCGTGGGGTTGTTCACGACGAACCTCCTGCCCGAGGATGGGGTCTACGGGTGCTATGCGTTTGTATGGGCTCTGAAGAGGTTCAGGTGTGCTTAAAGAGGGGGAAAAAAATCCAAAGAGTCAAAAGCCCAGAACCCAGGAGGGATGACAACAGTGGGATGCAGCGAGAGATCAGTTGTCACTCTGCTCTTTGTTTTCCATGTGTAGCTGCTGCCCGGAGCAAACACAGACACCCTCGGCTGATACAGTGGGGTTGCTCTTAAATTAAAGAAAAAAAAAAAAAAAAAGGAAAAAAAAACAAGAGGAAAAAAGAGAAAAAGAGGAAAAAAAAGAAAAAAGAGAAAGAGGAAAAAAAAGAAAAAAGAGAAAGAGGAAAAAAAAGAAAAAAGAGAAAAAGAGGAAAAAAGAAAAAAGAGAGAAAAAATGAAAAAAAAGAAAAAAAAAAAAAGAGGCAAAAAGTTGCAGGGGTGGCAGTCTTTTGAAGGTGTTCAAAGCAAACGCAAAGGCAGATTCCAAAGTTCTGTATTTTTCAAAATAAAGATCACACGTTGTTTAGAGACAATCTACACAAGAGTTACAAAAAATAGTCGCCCAGGCATAAGCATACACAGGTTTGTTAATTATACACATATGGTTACAAGTGTGCTTGCAAAAAAGTTCATTGGAAATATACACAAGGCTCTGTAAATGTACACCGTGTAGTGTTACAATTCTATATTCAAACAAGGAAAATTGACAGTATGTTACATTCACTTACAAGTAGACAAAATGCAAAATACAGTTCATCTTCTGTACAAAAAGGGAAGGTGATTCACACTTTACAAGGTGAAAAGGGACTCTGATTGTAAGGAAAACTAGGGGGGTCTGTACTTTTGCACTTTTTGTTTCTTACTGTCACAAAATAAGCAAAACATTACTTTTTAAGATTCAAAAAAACACTATTTTGAACTGAATAATTTTTTTGTATAACATTTAGAAAGGATCGCTACTGTTCAACTAGGTGACAAATAAAACCAAGCATATATTTTTTTTTAAACATTAACTAGGCTGTATAAAGAGAACATTTCCTTCAAAAGAAAAAATTTACTTCTGGTTGAAATTACAATTTACAATATACAACACTATATGCTACGACCATAAAAGGTGTGAATATACACTGAAATGCACAGGTTTTGCTAATTCTTTTTTTTCTTACCAAAAAACGGGTTTTATGTCGATTCAAACTTCTCCACATTTACATTACAGAGGTTTACAAATGTACAATTGTACAGTCAGAAGTATGTTCCACTACTAGGGTACATTATAGATACAGATCAGACATCAAAACAAGAAAATACTACAAATTTTTATATATGTAAAGTCTACACCAAGTATACACTATATATTTATAGAAGCAAGACCAAAGCCGAGTTGGATTTTTTTTGTTTTTGTTTTTCCCTCATGCTAAATAATCAAATTTCTGTGTCTCCATGTTAACAGAACAAACCGAGTAGGCAGTAACCAAGTACACCCACCCCCCTGCTTTAAAAACTTTCTGGGTGTGTACGTTTTCTTCCCAAAAACAACAGCTAAGCTACCTCTCCTTTAGCATGTTATACTCAAAAAAAAAAAAAACCCAGCAATTAAAAAGTTTTTAAAACTTAATTCTTTTTTTTTTTTTTTTTAAACTGAAGCTTTAGCAAGTTGATTTTTCTTTTATTTATAAACAGTGCTAAATACGTCATTTTTGTGCCATTTAACTAAAATTCAAACTTCTTCCTGACCTTTGAGTAAAAGGAGAAAAAACAGGTATTTGCAAAAAAAGTTGCCTGCAAGGCAAGATGAATTAAAAACGGTTTTTTTGTTTGTTTTCTTCAAACCAACCACCCTGAAAGTTTCCACATTTGGAATATAGATACAACAGTGAACAAAAATGTGGCCTTCCATGTACATTTGATACCTATGTACAAGTATTCTATACACCAGTAAAACAGCAGGGCAATTAGTTAATTAAAAAAAATAATTAGTACATGTTATGCATAATAAAATTAAAGAAATTTACAAAGGCTTTTCTTTTGTCTTTTTGTTTTCTAGCAACCACAAAACCTTTTCTAACTGTATATTGGAATATCGTCGGTTGCTGGTTGTAGGTGCCGGGTGGCCAGTGAGCTCCTCCCCGCTCCGTGGCTTCAGATGATTCCGTTTGGTGGTCCGCAAATGGGCCCCAGGTCCACCCCGTTCTTCATGTAGTATTTCTCCAGCTTGGCCAAAATGTGTTTGCCGTAGGTGTATTTACGCAGGGTAGCGATGTGAGGCCGGATCTAGGAGAGAAAAAGAAGAGCAAGTGACGGTTAGTGTCCTGGTTTGGGCTGGGACAGAGTTCCCTCTTTTCCCAGCAGCTGGTGTGGGGCTGGTTGGGTTTGTGCTGAGGAGAAGCTGATCACACACTGATGGGCAGAGCTGCTGCCAGGACAGTCAAGGACTTTCCAGCTTCTCTGCTGTGCCCGTGTCTGCAGGGGCAGGAGGAGCTGGGAGGGAGCACAGCCCCAGTGACCAGCCCAGGATTCGACCTCAGGTTCAGGACTGAGACCAAACTGGCCAATGGTCTGTTCCACCCCATGGTCAGGAGAGAGGGGAGGGGCTGTCTGGAAGGGCTCTCTCTTGCTCCGGGTTGTCTCCCTCTGGGTCACCCCTCTTTTGGGGTCATCTTGGTCTCTCAGACACTCGGGCTCTTATCTCTTTTATGGGATTCCTGTTTTGGGACTCTCCCTGCTCCGGGATCATTGGCTGGGAACGGGCTGAGCCTCAGTCACTGGGTTGGGAGCAGTGTCCCTGTGTGTCACTCATTTGTATATTTGTATATATTACTGTTATTATCATTATGATTTCCAATAATATTCTAGTTTAGTTATTAAATTGTTCTTATCTCACCCCATGAGTCTCTTTTCTCTTCACCCCTTTAATTCTCTCCCCATCCTGGGGAGGGTGAGCGAGTGGCTGTTGTATGAAACTCCAACATTTAGGAGCCCAGAGAAGCTGTGGATGCCCCATCCCTGGAGGGGTTCAAGGCCAGGTTGGATGAGGCTTTGGGCAACCTGGGCTAGTGGGAGGTGTCCCTGCCCATGGCAGGGGGTGGCATTGGATGGGCTTTAAGGACCCTTCTCACCCAAACCATTCTGGGATTCTGTGAATCACGTCAGTCCTGAGTGAGCTGCGGGTTCCCATACGGTCAGAGCACCAGCCACCAGCCCGAGACCAGAAGACCACAAAAATGCCCCAGATATTAAAGTGCCATTTGCTGTAATCACATCAATTACTGCGAATGAAGTTAATGGTCCATAGCTCACTGATGTTATTTTTAGGAGGAACTTCTGGTCAAGCAGGTGCCCCTCTCCTGAGCCGTTTACCAGAATCCAGTTGGATCCCAGCATGTGGATGGACATGAGGCTCTGTCCCAGGAGAGGAGGCTGGAAAGACATGACCCCTGGGTGCTCAAGCTTCCCAAGGGTGCCCTGACACTCTGCCCCCAGCCTGGGGGTGAACACACTACGACAGAAAAGGGTCTAGTGCAGCCGAGCAGCTTTTGCTGAACCTGAGCAGGGGCTTCTGCCTCCTCCCAGGCGACAACACTTCAAAAAACCCGCTAAAACCCTGACCGAGCTGCGGGTACGAACCCAGAGAGGCCTGCAGCGTTCCTGGGCTGAGCAGCAGTTTAATTTCTGGACCTGACAATTCAAATATTTATTTTAAGTGGAGAAGAGCTCTGTGGCAGCCAGCTCCACCCGCTCTCACTACGTCAGAGTAGAAGTCACTTTGGAGGCCACTGTAGCGCCTGTGGCTGGGGGGAAACCCCTGCCAGAGCGGCCGAACAGGAGAGCTGCTCCCGCTGGAGTAACATCACCACGCTGCGGCAGTTCTCCTGGACAGTTTCAGAGGCAGGAGACGTAAGAGCAATTCATTTTCATTACTAGATGAGAAATATCCCACACCACCAGCGCGTTCCCTCAGTAACACAATTACAACGGAGGACTCACTCCACGGCGGGAGGAGACGACGGCCAGCACACCATGTCCAGCCCCCCGGCGCCTCGGGCAGACACACTGCCAGGACCGACTGTAATCCCATGGGAAATCCATCCCCAAACCCATCCTGTTTCAGAAATTCCTACGTCAGTTCCTGTACCAACCGTAAAGGGATGCCCTGACATCCCATTTCCAAGGAGGTCCAACTGCTGCTCTGAGGTTAAGGAGAAGAAAAGCTCCCCAGGTCCAACAGTTCCTTCTTTGTCTTCATTTCTAAGACATTTTTTTACTTTTAACTGACAGAACTGACTGTTAAATTCATTTTTCAACGTTTTACTCTTTTTTAAATAAAAGTGCTGTCTTCAACAAGAACACAAACTGCTTGTTTGTACTAACCGCAGTTTTTCCAGTCCCAAAGCAACAGTCCATACACCCGATTTTCCCAGGCTTTCACTCAGCCTGATACCATCGCTGAGATCTCCATATCCAGCCAGGCTTATTTAGCTGTCAGCCCAGTTCTATTTTTGACAACCACACTGATAGCCTAATTAGCATCTTATTCAAAAGACTTGCTTGACAGGCGAAAGAACATGTCAGTAAAGATAATTCCTTTTTTTTTTTTTTTTTTAAATATGTATCTCTATATATAGATGAGCAAAGCTACAGGTCATTCTGCTACAGTTAAACTGCATCTATCCCTTGCCACAATTTCCATTTAATTATCTTTCTAATTTCTTTTGGACTAACACAGATTTTAAAAGAACTATTCTGAATGATTCCTAAACCTAAGAAGTAACTTACCTCAAGATTTTTTCAGCTGCATGTAGTTCATATACTGAGCAACTGCCTGGTGACAGTGAAAATCAGTGCCTTGGCACAGATAATACCCACTTCTTTTTACAAGGAAAATAACTCACTCCATTTTACCCAAAGATTCTTAAATACACTTGATTTCATTGGGATTTCAACACTTGACACTTGTCACAGTTCCTCTTAAAAAAATAAATATGGGGTTTCCCAAGCTAGCGTTAGTCAGTATTTTATTTCTAACAAGAGATCTGGCTCGAGCTGGTATTTTTCACTGAGTAACAGACTCTAAAACCATGTGATTGAAGAAAATAATCTCAGTTCCACTACGCATTTGAAAGCCTATTTTTTCCATTCATCACAGTTGTAAAAACGCACAAAAGTGACCTTTAAAAGCAAGAAAATGAAGACATCACCTGATTTTTAGAGCCTCCTGCCCTCGGGGCAGCAGGCATCTAGCCCTGGGAGGCAGGACTGGCAGCAACGCATATTTCATTCCACAGTGTCTTCATTTTTGACAAATATTAAGTCCTGAAATGGTTATGTATTCAAACACTGCAGCGTAATGCTAAACCATGGAAGTTTCTCATCAAAACCACATTCAAAACTGAGAAATAGAGAATTTGATGAATGGCTCCAGGCTCAGATGCTACAGCAACAGGCTCCGTCAGCGCGGTGTCACCAGCCAGCCTGGCTGTCCCGATCCGGGCTGGAAAGCGGGGACACGAAGTGACAAGGCAGCGCTGGCAGCCCTCAGCAGCACAACCAGCAGGCTGCAGGCGTGTCGAGGTCTGGCTCGGCTCCACTGAGCGCAGAAAACTGCTCTCATCAGCGAACGCTGTTCTCAGTGAGGGCAAGAGTGTCGTCATCGCCAGACCCTCAGAGCCCCCTCACAAGGCACCAACTGGGTGGCACTGTTGCTGTGAAAGTCTCGGCGTTTTTAAGGAACGTTTGCTACGCCGCACATGCAGAACTAGGTTACTAGGTCAGCAGAGTCTGCTAGAAGCAACCAGCTAGTTTTAACTCCAAATAGCGTCTCATTATTTCACATTTTCCTGTTTCAGCTACTACTGAAATAAACAACTTTGAAATCCCTCCATCATTAGAAAATCCTAATGGCAAAAGCAATTTCCCTTCCACAAGCAGCGTGGCAGCGACAAGCCTTACATCCTTATCAATCGCCGGCAGCTGCTTACCTTGTGCATGACAATCTTCCGCTGAGCTGGTTCTGCCACATCGATCATCTTCTGTACCACGTAGTTGGCGTACTGATCTTTCATCATGGTGTATAAGGCACTGTGCGGGCCGTCGTTCATAGTGCACACCTCATCGATCAACATGGCACGCTCCGTACGGGAGGCGTGAGTCACGCATTTCTCCACCACGTTGCTGGAACAATAAAAGAAGGACAATCTGTGAGCATGCAACATCGCTGCTGGGCTTTTCATCCAACCCCAAGGAGATCTCTCATGCTTCAGCACAGGCAGACTGCTCGGGTACAGAAATTCAGCAATGTGAAACAGAGGAGCAGTCCAAGGAACTCGGGATCTGAGTGGGAATTTGGGTAAAGGACCAGTTCCGGTTTTATTTCACCCAAATTTGTGCATCTCTACAGTGACACTCTATTTGAGATGGGTGTCTGTTCTCACAGCGTGCCCATTAGAGAAGCAGATGAGTTGTTCTTTGTTTGGTTTTCTCAATGGGAAGGGAGGTCCAAGGTTAGAACAACAGGGAAATGCTTATTCAGGAATGAAAGATCTTAGCAAAGGCAGAGAACTTCCAAAATTCCTGACTATATTAGATGACTAACCTCTGCTCTCCAGAGAGCCAAGTTAAATAGGAAATATGAAAGGGGAGGGAGAGTTCTGCTAGTCTTATCTTCTGCATCCCTGACTCAATCATAAAATCACCAAGTGGTTTGCCACAACTGTGCTCAGCTCAGGGGACAAGCTACACTAATTAACACTCCACTAACACTGTTAGGAGAGAGAAAAAAAAAAAAGAAGAGCAAGTCAGGGAGGAAGAATCTGAAATAAGACCGTTAAGACCACACTCTTCTAACTCTTGTTAATGTTACACTTCCCTTGTGTTCATACGTATTAAAGCACTATTTTACTATTTTACTAATAAAAAGGGGGAATATTGAGCTTTTGAAGAGCTCAGCCTTCATGTTCAAATGGCTGGGAACACACAGAGAAGGAATTTACAAATGTGGGAAGAATTACTTCATTTTGACACCCATTAAGGTACTTGGACTTTGGTCCTACCCATGGGTAGCTCTGTAGCATCTGGACTAACCTCAGACTGCTGCAGCTTCCCTAAGAGCATATCATTACGCATGTGTCTCAAAAAGGACTGCAAGACTGAGCATAGAAAAAACCCAGATTCTTCTGTGAAAGGGGGAATAAAAAAGAATTGTTACTACACTGATTTCCCAAATTCCCTTGTGGCTTGACACAGCATCCCAGAGGAGCAGAATGCTCTTCCGGCATGTTATTATCCAAGGGATAGCAACCACTTAAAAACCAGCAAAACAAAACCAAAAAAAAACCTCAACACACACAAAAACCCTTGGTCAAGTTCAGGAACTCGGATTAGTGCTACTCTTCCACATCTTAATAGTTCTTCATTCCACGTAAAACTTACCTTGCCAGTCACTCCTCCCAGTTTACAAGCAGTTATAAATAGCATTCTGTTACTAAGAAAAAGTTCTTTTCACCTCCTTTCACCTCCCTACACCCCACCCCGAACTCTTCTGCAACTCAAGCATGTGTCCATGCTCCCACGGGGCGTGGAGACTTCAAGGAACAAGTTCATACCTAGCAAATTTATGTTGACTCAACACGAGCACGTTGCCTCGAATTTCTGCTACAATCTTGCTCTTATCCTCAGGCCGACCATGTTCTAGTACGTGCTGGATAACATAGTTCCCATACTGATCCTGTTTGAGAGACAGCAGAAATGTGTGACAAAACAAGGACAGGAACCATCAGTATCAAACTAGTTCCCAACGTGCATTAAGACTTACCAACTCGGACTAAACATTAATTAAAATAGCTACTGTACAAATCATGTCAATACTTTGTACTTCTACAAAAACGTGCATTCTAGAGTTTTACCAGGAGGTTAAATACTGCATCTTTGCACCAATTATAAAACACAAAACAATATCCTTGAACAACAGGAGGCTGTGCTGATGCACGGTCATATTCTGAACGTGTGTATATTCAGACCACAAGACATATATTTTTCAACTTCACAATACCAGAGGCATGCCTGGATGCCTCGCCTCCCCACTTTCCATGGGCTAAATACATGAGTGCCCAGTACAGGGTTCATTTGCTGCTATATCCATCATGCCCCAGTACCAGAATCCCAGTAAAACAAGTTCTCAGAAGGGCTGCAAGGAAGAGGAAAGGCAGCCAGGAATGGGGTGTGCATAAAACCATACATTTTTAAGAACCTCAATCACTTGGCACTTTATTTTCCTAGTAGTAATCAGTTCCTCGCATCAACTCCCTTAAGATTTACTTGCATTGTAACTTCTGCAGTGAAGCCTTAGGACACAAACTTAAGATCCTTCTCAAAAAGGAAAGTAACTAGAACTTTGATACCTGCTGGATATTTGCACATAGCCAAACCAGTTAGTGATGATGCATTTCTTGTCTGCCCCAGTCCTTCCCATTGCTCCCCAGGAAGAGAGTCCCTGTGTCCACAGGACCCCAGCAGCACTAGAGCTGGAGCCCCAGACAGGCTGCGAGGGGCTTCCTAACACAAACCAGAAATCTAGAAACATCTCCCAGCACCCATGTTCCCCCTCCCCACACTGACCTGCACGAGCTGCTCAGTGTGTTGGTGAAGTTCCTCCAGGATGGGAAGGGTCTGCTCAGGAAGACAGTGCTCGAGGATCCTCTGGATCACACGACAGCCGTAGGGATGCGTAGACAACGCAAAAACCTGCGTTCGGCAGAGACAAGCAAGCACAGGCAGCAACACGTCTGTTAGTCTTTGTGAATTCTAGAAACCTTTTGGAATTAAATGAACACATGGTGGTTTTTTCCAGGCATGGTAGGTGACGGCAGCTTGCAGCACGGCAGCTCCAGAGAGCAGAAACTGGAAACATCTGTTCCCCACTGCCACAGGACTAACTGGGTGATCGCAGGCACATCACATCCCTACCTGTGCTTCAGCTTTCCCATTATGAAACAGGAAAACAAATGGTAAAGCCTCTTGATTAATAAAAAGAGCAGCTGGACAGCCAAGCATTATTAGAAGCTGTGTTAAAACACCGTTTCAGAAGAATAAATCCAGCACTCTGTTTGGCCGCTATGTATTTTAAGCTGTGTAAGAAACAGTATGTACCAGAAAGGTTAAAAATGCTCAGCAAGGGATTTTCCTCAACTACTTGGATTTGTTTAAAAGCCTTAACTGTGCTTAGGAGAAGTGACAACAAAGAGCTTTCTTTCTTTCTCATTTCGAAAGGATTACCAAATCTGTTGGTAGGAACATGACACCTTGTTCAATTTATTCTTTCTGCTCAGTTTTCTGTCTAAAGCACAAAGTCCTATTTGGTTGCTTAAAATTAACAAAAGCAGCAAATCCAAGCACTGAAGTTCAATTGACACCTACACATTTTTAATAACTATTGAGTAAACTGTGCAGGAAAAAAGGACTTGAAGTGGAACTAACTGCAGAAAAATAGTTTGGAGGTGAGAAGTTTAATCTTTTATATGAAAGTTCAGATGAAACTGGGAGGGCTGGTCAAAGAAACATCAGTGCCACCAGCCAGGCTCCCAGGGGTATTTCTGCCTTACCAGACTCTGTAGTGGAAGGTCCAAAGCTCAACTCCAGCCAGCAAATCTGCTGAGTAAGTTTCCAGCTAGAATCCTGCTTGTTTTGACACAGCCAAGCAAGTCCAGCTGTGCCAGGAGCGGCCAAGCTCACAAAGCCTGGTTCCTGCTACAATAACCCCGGGCTATCCTCACAGCCCTGTAGCAAAACCCTCTAAACTTCAAAGTCCCCCTCCAAAGGCAATTAAGTTGAAGTTGGAAACGCCCAAACCAGGGCTTTTGTAATGGGAGACAAGCTGAGTACAGGCAGAATAAAGCCGGCTACACAAGTCATATCCAGGAGAGCAACTCAGGAGAGGAGACCAAGGCAAAACTGGGAGAATGAAGCACAAGTAACTGCTTTTTCTAGATGAAACTCATGCTTTTCCCCCGGTCTGAGCCCCTTGGGGAACAGCGGCTCTCTCTAAGCCATCCTCAGAGCAAGGATCCTAATGAAAATTTACTATACTCATCACAAACTCTGCTCAGCACCTTTACAATGAAGATGGATTAATGAGAGACTCATTTTCCCCTCCATCAGTCAAAAAATACTTGATGTTCCAGGAAAAAAGATTTTTGCAAGGATGCTTTACTGTGATACACCTGCATAAAAACAATAACACAGACATGGATGAAAGAGTTTCTGGGCTCCCTAACACTGCTGCAGAAACCTGCCAACTGATGCTTGCTCCAATATAAAATATTTGCACAAATTATGGCATCTCTCATGCCATCCAAAGCAACAGATAAGAATGTAAAAAATAAGAGTCAGTATCTTGGTTAAGGACTTACCTGTCCCTTAAATGCATCAATGATGAACTGCAGGGACTGAGGCTGCACGCACTCGATACACTTCTGCACCACATGATTACCGTTCTGGTCTTTCACGCACTTCAGGACGTGGCCATCCAGCTCCCGTACCATCTCATTCTATTAGGAGGAGAGAAAGACAAACAGAAAGCACCACCAGGATTCACGGCTGACAACTACAAAAGTTTTCATTGCCAAATGTGGCCAAGAACATGAAAGGTATGAAGGATGCACCAATGAATTTCAAACTGGAAGTTTTCCGGTGGCTAAGAGCTGAGATGAAGCTTGCTGTGCTACAGAAAGCACCAAGAAAAATACTATCATGAAATGAAGATGAAGCACTCCTTTCATTAAGCATCCTCTTACAAGGTACGTATCCAAATTTAAGAAATTTTACTGCTACACAACTTTACTGTGCATCCCCCATTCCATCCTCTGCTCCCTTAAAAGAAAAAGAAATTAAAAATGCCCAAACTTCACACACCTATGTCACTCAAACGGGGTCAGCACTGGGATAAGAACTTGCTAGTCTTTTACACAGGCAAGGTAATGCTGCATGATAACGAAGAAATCCGAGCAGATAAAGTTTAGATATGACTAATGTACCACATGTGCAGCCTAAAAGCTTCCCAAGCAGAAAACAGAGAATGACAGTTTGGGGGAATTTAAGCAGACTACAAAAGTGGATGAGTTCAGTTTTGCAGCTGATCCAAAAGCAGGCATTTCAGCAGCAGAGGGGACTCATCAGAAGTACCGTTCTGAAGAAAGATGATTAGTAAATCCTGGGACCAGCAGTGCCGGAGTTTGGGCCACCACCCAGTACCCTGCTGACACACTAAGGCAAGAGCTTAGCCCAGGCCTGACCGAAAGGGAAAGCGCACTCCTAAAGCCTCTTTCGGTTTTTTAATTTAATAACCTACATTGAGATTCTTATACTACAGTTCCTAACACCTTTATTAGCTAGCTTGCCTAGTGTATTTTTGATCCTAATTCATTGTTCATAAAACCCTAGAGGAACTGCTCTATTAATGAGCTTTGAGCGGGACTCTGGCTACCATCTCTCCAAGGCAAGGTCTGGCTCGACAAGAACTCGGAACTCCTCATACATCTCACTCTGCAGGAAAGCAGAATATTGACCCACATATCAAAGCAGCGATATCTCAGCGAATATTAAAGCCAAAACTCCGGCACCGCTTTCTTCAAGGGATTTAAAAATCTCTCTTCCAATTCACTACCACTCTCAGTTTCCCCTACATCCACAATCTGATTTCAGGGAATTAACAGAGAACCAACACCATTACCAGTTACGTGGAACAAGGAGATGACGACAAGACCCAAGAACAGCTTCACGTACTTATCATGCACATGAAACGTAACAAACATGCCGTAAACCAAACCAAAAGGACACCAGCCACAAGAGGAACAGAAGGTCGCAGTTCAGGTCACCAAAACGGCAAGGAACGTTAAACATCAAGAAGAAAGTTAAAATTGAAACTTACAATTACCTGCTGGTCTGGGGGAATAAACTCGAGGGCCTTCTGGATCACCCTGCAGCCGTACATCTGCAGAGCCAGGGAGAGAACATGCCCACGGATCCGTTCTGCCAAGGCTAACTTCTGTTCCAGGCTGCCAAACTGGGAAAATGAAAACCAATCAGTACAAGCACAAAACCCTCCCGTGGCCAAGCGGCACAGCAGCCCTCCCACGCTGTCACGCTGAAGCGTTGAACAAGGAACGCTGTGCCTACTGAAAAGAAAGAAAATACCAACCACACCTCCGTGGATGTGAACAGGCACAAACCAGAGTCTGTTCTGTGTCTCTCAGACTGCCTGACACCTGAAACAAACTCCAGAGTCAAAGGTGCTGGAGCCATGAGGGTGACATGTGCCAGCTCATTAACCCTCGAAAGACTTCCTAGAAAATTACTGTATTTCTTTTATCCAACCATCAAGGACCACCAAGGCTCAGTGGAGAAGGAACAGAGCAGTCTCAAGAAGGAGAGATGGGCGTCTGCGCAACCTCCTGGTTTGAAAACACAACACTTTCTTCCAGTGGATGCTGTTCACGGAAGAATTTTCTTTTTTTCATAAAAATGTGAGTACTGACAGCTCAGCACAGCATCCTTGAAAAGTCTTGTTGGACCTACATCTCCTGGATATGTTGCTATTTATTCCTACACCTTTCGCATCTCAAAGCAAAGTGTTACTTTTCAGATGAATTTTTACGAGTCCCACACCTCAGTCACCCCAACAGGAATGACGCAGCAGCCTGTGGGGAGGAGATGACACCAGTGCGGACAGCTATCCATGGTTTTAGCCAACTACAGGGTTCCTACGAGCTCATCCCATCCCTCAGGACAGCAGGCATTTGAGTAAGACTTGCAGGGGAACGCAGACTTACTTCAAAGAACTTCTGGATGACGTAATTTCCAAATACATCGACCATCAACTGATAAGCTGCCTGGAGGATCTCGTTGAACACAAGCTGACGTTCTGCTGGGGTAGCACGCTCCAGTTTCAGCTGAATAAACCTGAGAAATAAGACTGGTGTGATGCCACTGGCACATACGCCCGCAATGCATTTGTTAATACAAATCCATTCAAAAGCTTCGTACACTGAGATCTTACACAACACAAATCTTTAACCACGGTTGCCCTATCCAGTTATCTGAAACCTCGGCATGGTCACAGCCATAAGGTCCACGGCTACACGTCATTGTCAGTATCCCAAAATCTCCTCATTCGAAGAAAAGCAGATCTCAATAGAATAATACAGCAAGGTCTCATGTCCAGACAGCTCTTTAAAACCGAGTTCAGCTATGCCAGCGGGACTAGCAAGCAAATTACGAAGCAAGCAAGCTCTTCTTTAGAGGAGGAACTCCTGCTATCAGCATTTGTACCCAATCGATCTTTAAAAAGAACAACCAGAATGTTACGCTACTTGGCTTAAAATCTTTCACATCTCCTTTTCCCTGTTCTGCCTCTTTGCTTCAGGATGCAATGCAAGTTGCAAACAAACTCAAAATTACGAAAAAATAACTCAAAGAGCAGCTGGCCCAAAAGCTTGCCATAGCATGAGGTTTTGAATCCCACCTGGATCCATGCTGATCTTGGGAGAACTCCATGATGTGCCCAGCGATCTCCCGCAGCTGTAAATTCGGGTACCGGTTATTGCGGAAGTCTTCAAGCAGCCTGCTTCGGCCAGAGGGCATCACATCCGACATCCCATAGCGTAAGCGAGACGAAGG